ATCCCCCCAACTTTTGTTTTCCCACCGATGTGGGACAAACATTTTGTCAAATTCAACAAACACAACTACGACAATTATGCAGGTAATATCTATTAGCTTCAGCAGTAATGATCTACTGGCAGTTTTAACTCATTGTGACAAAATCTATGCAAATCACAATCTTTCAGAAATCACAGTTCTAAGAGCTGTAATGCTTTGAATCTACTGACCTGGTCAATATCTGATTAAGGTAAGTAGCGTCTAACTGTTATAGATATGTACTGTATTGGGGATCAGTCACTACAGATATATCTCATCATTTTTAGATGTGAAAATTGATGTGTTTCAGGTGGAATGCACTCGTTGCAACACAATGCTATAGGGCATAATGCATAAAGGAACATAGTGCTTATGAATTGGAAATACCTTTAACTATATTTACTGAGACTTTGCAAATGCAAGGTATAGCCAGAATTAAAAGGAAGATCTCAAATCTTGGAAAGACCAAAGCTCCATAGCTCCACTTTTTTCCTGTGTCCTTTCTCAGCTTTAAAATAAAAAGGAGCAAAACATGAAGCAATATCAAGCTGCCTCCAATAACGGCTAACCAAAACATGCTTCTGTTAAAATCTCTCCACCTGGAAACAGCAGATGAATTTTTCATTTGCAGATGCTAAATCCATCTTTTGCTTAAAGGCTGATAAAGATATTTTCAAGTACATGCACTTGATCGTCCTTTTCTTTTTTAACTAAAACCTAAGTCCCAGTACCTGAAGCATGGTCTCTATTTGTTACTTTGCATATTTAGTTTCCCAAAGAAGTGAATATAATTGTATCACGTATTTGGTGACAGCCCTAGTTCTGGTTTCACGTGGCCTGGAAGTAGCTTGGTTTACAAGTAGTAATCCTGACCTTAGTGCTTCTTGGTTAATTTTTGTAAAGAGGAAACTAGTTGAAAGTACACCTCAGGACATTGATTTACTGCATTTATCCAATGAATCGGGAAACTAATCACCTTTGACCACTTCAAAAGTGATACAGAGACATCTTTCGATACTTACCCACTTGAATATTGTGGATCCAGGATATACTGAGCTTCCGGAAGAAGATTCTGGCTCTGCCATTCAGAAGAGCATTCAACAACGCGATCACGGAACAAGTATTTATGTTATGGTGAAAGTTGCGGATTCTAACCTCGAAGATTGACCTATATTCCATAGGACTAAGTGGCAGCCCATATAATCCTGAAGCTTTGTCCACATTGTATTTGTCTGTTTTCTTTCCAAAATCATGAATTTTAGAGCCGTATGAATGTGAGTTTGTCGGGGAACTCGGTCCCATCATGAATGGAAACGTGCTTCCAGTTTCCCATGGGAGCCTCATGTAGGGAACACTCCATTGCAGGCCTCTAGCAAATTCGTAGTATTCAACTGGCAATGTAACTGGCAACCATCTCGTCAATGCAAATACCTGAATGTGACAAGCTATTCTCTGTTTCAAGACACAAAAAGAAAAGATGTGCACTCAGAACATAATGTAATGGATCAATCAATCTAAGAGTGCTATTTTGATCTCAAAGATTTTGAAAATTTCAATGAACTTAATGGACATAAGATGCGTGGACATTTCCAAAAATGTATTCGTCCACATTAGAGCCTTCTGATATTGCTAGTGAGAGAACATAAACTCTAAACACTACCCAAATAAATCATCAGCAGAACTCGATCTTAATGGTATCTATGCCTTATGACCCCTTTTCATTGGTAGCTCAGCAATGGTAGAGCTGTTGTCTGTTCAAAATATTTCTTGCTCCAACCGTTGAAAATAGCAGGTCGACGTATTAATATTTTTTCGGAAATTATGCTGCCAGCACAGAGATACTAAAACTGGGAGCTAAAGTTATTACTCTGAACTCTACAAAAATAAAAAAAGAATCTGACTTGTGACGAGGTATCTGTCACACTGGAATTTGTTTTTGGAGAAAGCAAATGATTATTCCCTTCTCATGGTGTTGCTTCCGAGAATACATCTCAGGAACAAAGGACAACTTCATGAGCTTCACTAAGAGCCTTAGAGTTCTAAAATTCAAGATCTTTCATATCCTTCCCCATGTATTTAACAACCAAAGAAGTACCCATATAGACTGCAGACCTATACGAGTCTAACATAAAGTTGTTAAGGAAGGGGTATTTACAAAAAGATTTCTAGCAGGATCAGATGTCATAAAAGAGCTTGGTCTTGAGTATGCACCAACAGATTGGAGGCTCGCAGTTGACACAGTGAGGAGCCCTGCTGCAAAAGATGTTACCACGAAAGCAGCAGTTGCAAAGATGGAAAGCACTTGAGATATTGATGGTACAGTATCTGTAAAAGAGTAAAAGGAAATCATACATGATTAAAGCATCATCAAAGCAAAAGAAAGTGACCTTGAGTTTAGAACTATCGAATATTACAGTGCAGGAGCTGGAGAACATTAGATTGTAGGTTTCTGTTTCCAGCAACATCACCGGTTACATTTTCCGGGATGCTCACAGAAACAAAATCTTCCCTCGCTTGTATATTGACAATGTAAATGCTTCTACTCATTTCTTGAAAGCTGGAAATACATAAGAACATTAAATCAATGAGCCATGACTGGTACACGACAGAAATGATGTTATTCTTCCTAACTTGCTAAAGAACAAGCTTTATTTTACAGGAGAATCTTTTCACCGAGGAAGATCAGTATACAAGGAATCTGCTAACCTCTGCAAATGTCCTCCAGTGATGGACACATGTGAAGAATTAAATCCAAATACAGGCTTAACGAACTTTATCCATACAGGAATTTGCTCTTCACAAGTTCTCATCCTAGATGTTGTGCTCAAGCTGACAGCAGGCCGTTGCATATCTGAAGGTCCAATAAACAATTATATTTTGGAGAAACAAAATAACTAGCATATCAAACATTACCATGCAATCACATATCATCCTCATGTCAATTCAGCAGGTGGAAGTAGAGGCATTATCCTTTCTTTATTTAGAGGTGTCTTCAATGAAAAGTTTCTAACAGGCAGTCAAACGTACCGTATAGAAAAGTAACTGGAGTTACTGGAGCTACGGAGGTTCCCTGTCTGCTCAATAATAAGCTTGATCTTAGGCTCAATGTGACTATGGCCATCTGTGATATGCCTTTAATCTGGAAATGAACCAAAAAAAGGTATTATTTACAAGAACTGCAATGGAATATCAAATTGCAATAAACATTGGAAAGAACTAACCTGAAAGCCAAATCTACGTTCTCCCAAACTATTTCCACTAATGGGAGTAACCAACCCCTGACTTATGTTCAGAGAATTCAAAATTTCAGTAGATGAATTGACAATAGGTTCTGTAAAGTACAAATACACCTTCATGTTCTCAGTTCTATTTGTAGCTAGCACTGTTCTCGTTTCTCTGTCAATCTGTAGTAGCCTTTCAGGTATTTGAGTCCTTATGTCAACGGACACTGACCTTCTATCTGTTGAATCCAGTATCAAAGAGATTGGAGTCACTCCATATTGATCGGCACAGAGTTAATTGTTGATTGTTAATCTATTATCTTTATACACTAGGATTCGTTTCTACAGTATATTCATATTAAGATATCACATATTAGAATTTGTTTCAATTGTCACAGAAAGAAAGATGTCCCTTTGGATCATGAAATGGCAGGGCCTTCTAGAAGACTAGAACAATAATATAACTCTGAAACAGAAAATCTGATTCAAAAGGATCATCTCTAAAAGAACCGATATCAACATGATAAAGGTAAGGCAACTGACTCACCAAAATGCATAAATATTCTTGAATTTTCTGTCCTTTTAAATTTGTTTCCAGCAGAGTCTGAACAGAAGTTTTTATCCATTACCACGACCACTCTTCCATACTGATCACGTGTAGACAGACTCACGACAACAGAAAATTTAAGATCTGGCTCAATAACATTGAGTGTGTTTGGTACGACCTGTCCAGGGCCATAAACAAGAAGCTGCAAAGAGCACACAATTGATAACTAAGTTTTGAGCTGAAGAGATAATAAAAAAGGAATTTCCAAGAACCCTAGATCCCCTACACGACTCTTTCCATTACAAGGCAATTTGAGAATGTTTGCAGAGGTGAACTTCAACTAACGAAGGTCAAAACCTTGAAGAAAAGATAATTAGACATCATAAGAAACCAAGCTTTCATGCAAAAGACTTCCCACTGCCAACATATTTTAGCTTCTCATATACTTACATTGCAGGAATTCGTGGAAGAGCATCCAAAACCACCTTGGGTCCAACATGGCTCGCTGAAAGATATGTTCACTGAAACATTTGAAGCATTTGTAAAAGATGTTGGTGCGGTAATGTAGGCTGTAGGAGGAATAGTGTCTGCAGAAGAGTAGGGACATGAAATCAGGAAGTGAAACCATGAATGAATTTTTACTTTACCAGCAGTTACAACTAGACTTGAGTCCCAAACACACACACAAATACATCATGCTTAGAAAAGACCAAGTTTATTGTCTACCTGTCCGGCAACTGAAACATAAACAATAATTGATGATAACTGTGCTAGGATGCCTAAACAAGGTGAAAATTGGAACATGTAGCCTCTTTATTCAAAGTTTGAGCAAATGTCTTAAAATGGTTGAAAGATATTACACGGAAATAGAAGTTTACCTTGTCTTTTTATTACAAAGTGTTCCAAACCTATCTGGCTAATAAGAAGAAAGGGGCAAGCTAGAACCTACTCCTACCAGGTTGCTGGATTGAAGTAGTACATTATACATCAGCCCTCCAGCAGCAGAGGGTGTTCGATTCCCGCATTATGAGGAAATAAAGAGACAGAGAGAGGATCAGAAACTATGTAATGATCCAGAGCTCTCCTCATTTACCTTCTCTCCACTATTTGGTGATCTCTCCCCAACATATGTAATAACTAACTATGTTGAACAAAGAAGGATCAGAAACAACAACAAAAAACAACTTAAGCCTTAAAGACAGAAGTCAAAATACACCACCGAAGATAATGGTCGTTTTTATGTGCCCTAAGTGGTATTTAAGTATCATGAACTACTAGGGTGGCACCAAGACCATGAAAAGAAGAAAAGGTTGAGTGCTACCAACAGTCCAGTTATAACGAGAGCATCCAGCTCCATGAGATCCATTGGTGCAAACTTCAAAAGTATGATTTCCGTCTAACAACCGTGTGTACAAAATTTCTCCACTTGCACAAACTGAAGGGATGTGATCATCCAGCTACAGTAACAGTAAATGAAAAATTAATTAGTTGTGTAATGAAGCGCAAAAAACTAAACGAACAGAAAACTTACCAAGTTAAAAAATAAAAACTGAAACTCAATAAATGTAGAACAATCTTCAATAGGCAGTTGCACCCTAAGGATCAAGAGAGAATCTCTCTTAAAATGTGCATTTTCCTTAACTGCTACTTTTCAATATATTCTATGGATGTTATACAAGAAATCTTTCCTTAAACCTCAAGTTTATCATTGTAAGGTGCATATCATTTGACAGTAAGGTGGCCGCTTTCTATAATCCTTCGCTATTATCGACAGATATTTTTTATGTTTTCAGGGAAACAAGTCATACATATGCCTAATGGCTTACTATTGGCATTGCAGAAGCTTACCATTAAATGCTACTTACTACATATTTTATTAAAGGATTGAAAATAATGTAGATGGAAGTCTGCTGACAAGTGAGGATGAGCATAAAGATGGTTTCTCTCCTCTTCTTAGATAAAAATAACACTGATCCATGGAACCCCTTCTCTTCTTTCATTTTTTTCTCCTTGTACTAAGGTGGTAAAGTTAGTTTGTGCTCACATTAGACACTCATCTACTATCGACATCAAGTATGCGGAGAAGATAGTAACTGATAATGTTGAATTCAAGCTACGCGCTTGCGTCTTTAAGTTAATACTAAAAAGAGTTCCAAATCCTATATGTTTAAGTATCTCCAAATATTGAGCAAAATTAACTAAATAAACAAAATCACTCAAATTGGTCTTTTGCCTTTCAGAGAGAATGAAGTAGGAACCCAAAGGCAGAATCCTTTTGAGGAATAGCTCAAACAGGATATTCGTAGTGCATTCAGAACTCCTAAATTAACAGCAATTGTAACAAGAGCATGCCTGTGCTTTGCAATTAAAAACAAAAAAAAAATGACATGTAGACAACTGTTCTATAGCATGCAAACTGACCTTGCAATAAGTGGAGCAGTCCGCACAAATGTCACCATTGCCACTCACCAAAACTTGAAAAGCAAATTTAGCAAAATTCCGGTTTGAAAATGCGCGAGGTGTCCTCAATAACTTCAAAGAAACCTCTGAGCAGTTTACTCTGAAACTCAGAACCAGGAAAACCCAAGAAAGCAAAATCAACCAGCTGAAATATTTTTCTAGACCCATTTAACAAGAATTACATCTCAAATGCAGACGATCGATTTTGCATGAGTAAGTAAGTCAAGAATATGTAGCTTCACAAAACAAAAAACAAGAAAAAAAGGTTGGTATATATCATGAAAATGTGTAAAAGAGGTTAAAAAAGGGAACTTTGTAGAGGAACTGGGGAATGGGTATTAGTGGTGGAAGTTGAATGAAGCGAAGATATAACACATGAGACTGAGAGTGCAACTGTGAGAGTGAGTGAAGATAAATAAGAGAGGAAAAAGATTCCAAACAGGCAAAAAATTGCGCAATAAATGAAGACAAATGACAGGGACGTGACTGAGTTGCCATTTGTCTATGAATATGAGATGAGAGAGAGAGTTCTAAGAATTTTAATGCACTTGGAGAAAATGATGAATTCTGCTACAGGACAATACCATTGTCGAACTCTCCATTTGTGGAAAATTTAGCCTGTTAGGGACCTCTTCTGGAGCTCGTAATAAATACTACTAGCTAGTCTGTTTTCTGTTTCTCTTTAAGTGTCTTCAAACTCCGAATAATAGGAGTATCTATGACTTCCAAGAGTTACAGTTCAGAAGTAAAGTCTTAAAGTTGGATTCTTACATCTCGTTCCTTAGTTACAACTTACTAGTATAATCAATGAAAAAATATATTTAAAAAAAATAACTATTATTATCAACTGTATCATATGGTGTAATGGTTATTAATCAATTGCAAAATATTCTAAATTATTTTTAGGTGGCTGATTACACAAGAAATCTTTATGTTGAAATTGTGGAAAGTCGATAATATAAAATGTAATTTATATTGCAAAGTCATTTATTTCTGTTCACATTATAATAGATAAATTTGAACCATTTCCTCCCCGTCATTTTGTGGATATTCCGTGTATAAGCTCTGAGTTGCTTTATACTACATTTTTTTTTATCGGAACTTGCCTCTCCGATGTATTCATCACGATACAAATTTCTTATTTCCTTTCTCTTAGTTTTGATCACTCATTTCAAGCAAGAGATAATTTTCTTTTGAACGTTTTTATGATTGAGAGCCTAATTGCGTTGTAGCAGGGCACACCACGTTAGTACTGAGCTTTCGAGTTAAGATTATTAAACGAGTTCCGACAAAGAAAATTCAATGTTTTTTTCCTCTCCTTTCTTGTTTGTGTCTACCCTTTGGTATTCTCCAAATTTGATACATTTCCCCTCCTAAAAAAGCCAAAGCCCCTTTCTCATTCTCATTTTCTCTCTTTTCCTATATTAGACCATCGGTCCTCCTCCAGTTTTAATAAGTTAACTTGTTATTCACCAATAGAGCAGAGAAAAGTCACCAATAAGTTAACACGTATTACAAAAAATAATACCAAACCAGAGTTCAATAGAGCAGAGAAAATTCACCAAGCCAGCTGCCTTCATATGGCCCATATATAGCTCACATTAAAAAAAACACCTCATATTAATATAAATTTCAATGGAAAAGAGTACTTTCTTTTCCTAATTAAAGGTCACTATATCAGTGTGCCAGATATTATCAGGCATTCTAATCTAGCTGTATTTCGAAGGCTTCTTTTTAGTACTTGCTTCAGCATACCCTACTATAATGGAACCACGTTTTTATGTCCATTTGTTAATTTTATGTGAAGGGTCTCCTAAGCAATGTTTACTGCGTAACAAGTACTATAAGTCTGATTCTGAAGACGAAATTTACGAAAATTAACTGTTGATTTAAACTATTTTTATGTCTAAATTACGACCATGAAAAGAAACATAAAATTTCTAAATTTCACGTATAAAATATCAGGAATTATCAAATTTATAGGAGTATGATTTATGAAGAATGTGAGTTAAGCGATAATGTTTTTGAGGCCAAGCTTTGAAGGGGAATTCTCACCACATACGATTGGGTGTGTGCCCGTTCATGTAAGAATAATTGAGTATATTACCCATAGATGAACAGCATCAGTCTCTTTCTGATTTTGTATCTTTGTACAAAAGTTGTAAGAAAAAGTAGAATAAAGACAAACCTGAATTCTGAGGGGAGCGTTGTAGCATACACTTGGCCATGCAGGCCAAAATAGGATTACAATTTCAAAATACTATCAATTCTTTCTCATTCCTTTGACATTTGCCTCGCGACTTCTGCATCAATTTGGAGTAGGTGAATTATACTACAAGATGCAGGACGTCCATAATTTCAACACACAAATGGATACGAACAGAACAGAGCCAATTCTATTGTTGTACTTGTCTTGCTATTTACTACTGCAGCTTTAATGGATACAAGTTTATGTGAATTCACTCACAAAAGTACACACTAATTGTCTGTTACGAATGAGCCATTCAAAATAACCAGAAATTCTCTCTCTAGCAGAGATACAAGGTGGGAACATCATGAAGATGAGATCAATATGCATAAAACAGTGGGCAGAAACTCAAAACACCCCCATCCCCCAAAAAAGTATTAATTACTATTTCATAACTTGCGTGTTCCTGACTCCTAAGAAGCATATCCCAGACCAAGAGGTCGTTAACCTTCTGGCAAACACATGCAAAGGAGGCGTTAATAAAATATTCTTCCCTCTTTCCTTCCATACCTAAAGAGCCTCTTAGTCAATCTGGTCAACATGCCAGACACCGCATTTGTCACAGGTTTCCATGACTTCAGCTTTATCATCTTTAACTTAGACAACTGCAGATCTTTGTGAATACAAGTCGTCAAGACTAGGTCCAATACAGTAGATGATATCTTATTCTCTGAACTCCTCCCAATGGGACTAATGTCTTATGTACAGGTTTTGCAATGGATCTCATGTCTCAAACCCTTAGATCTTCATAATAGCTACTGGTCAGCAAGATATTAGGGTGACTTGGACTCATTGCAATGTAACGGATGCCTATTGCATGAACTTCTGTATTGTGGTAATCTAACTTACAAGGATCATCTCACCAATCCCAGCAACTGAATTTGCAGTCATCCCGGCAGCGTATATAGCGGCTGTGGCTGGTGGATATCAAAAGAGGCAGCCAAAGCTCATAATCATGTGCTTTTCAGTCTTCGGAAATACTTAGTTGAGAATCAAGGATTGATGTTACTACACGTATTTATGACATATCTCTAGCAAATCGATCCCTACAAGAAATAGAAGACCTTGTCATTGAAGTACTTCAGTTATTTCCTCAATAAAAGATAAACTTTTTGTAACGTGAAGAGAGATGTGACTGGTATTGTAAACATAGGTTAAAAAAAAGGAGTGGTATTGTTAACATAAAGTACATACCTGGAACAGAGGATATAAACTTTCTAATTCTTAACATATTCAGTGAACCTGATAAGTCAATTCTACATATGCATGATTCTATATCCTGCTCTGCCCCCAACCACCCCCTCGCTAGAAAAGCCAAGATCTCTTATAGCAGTGATTAATTACTCAAAGAAACTACATGAGTTCTTAGCACTTGCCAAATCTCAGCCAAGAAAAAGAAATCATAATACCTATTCAGTCACACTTTTATAACTACCGTTGTTAAATGTTGCACCCTGGTTTTTATTGAAAGAACACTAGAACAGACAGCTATAAGTGACAATGAGTACTCTCTACAGTTTACACATTGCTTGATAAACTTCTACTACACTCTAACAGAGTATTTGCCCCCAAATCTTTATGAATTCCAGACCTCTTCTAAATTCTTAAACTAAAACAGCACGGGCACGGAAAAACTTGTTGCTTTCACTATTGTGTTTGATAACCTCTTGATTTGGCTACAGAATTAATAAATGAAATCAAGATTACTGATAGCACAATCGAGTGGAATCTCTTGATAACTATAGTTATTTTGGACCTACCATCATATATTGGTATTTCAATAATGAATTTAAGTGTTTCTACAAATAAATATTTAGTCCTAAGTAAGAAATAAAATCCCATTTGGCTGTATCCCCTGAACTAGGGTCATCTAACTTCTTTATCAGGTGAAAGGAAACACAAGCATACCATGAATTTCTGATCCATCCAAAGAAGAACTAAATTTGACAACTCTGGCATAACCATTAGCATCGGCTTGAGCAACTAAAGGACAAAAGTTTCTCCCAACAGGGCTCAGGGCACCATTCTATATCAGAACTACCAGTTATTACCATTTGGCAAGCCAATTTAAGAATATGAGCATCAGCATCAACATCAAGGAGGGATAACTACAGGACCAACCATGAGTCTGAAACAGCAGAGGATTGGAATTTCCATCAAGATAGCAACATGACATATCAATAATTAACGTACAAAATAAATGATCCCACCTGTGCCAACTGTTGAACAACNCCCCCTCCAAAAAAAAAAAACGCGTGCTTCTACATGCCTATGAAATATGAAATGTTAAGACTTAAATTAAATGATGGGAAAATCTTGGAATTCCCTAAAGAACACACCTTCTATGAAAATATAGTTAACATGCATGGTCTGACATTCTATATAAAATTTGAAGCAAAAGAAGGAGAACAAAGGCATCATTAACCGACGTGATGCTAGAGCATCACTCAAGAAAAGTTTGCGCCCTAAAATTAATCAATTACAAACTTGGTACTTGGTGATATTATCACATCAACGTGCAACTTTGAAATCGAAAAACATCAACAAGATAAACTTGTTACATATTTACTACTATTTTCTTTTCTTTTCCTTTATTTTCTTTACAAACTTGATACTTTAGTGATATTATCCCTCTGTTTCTTTCTTTTTTTCCCTACTTTTTTGTTTTATTTTAAATTTATACTTTTCTTGTCTCCTATGACCATATTATCCTAAAGAATCACAAAAAACTTTTTTTCTTTTTGGTGCAACATTAGAGGTCTCCAATTGAAATTTATAAGTTTTAAAACTAGTATGTGCTAGGTGCTACAAAAACATTTAAGACCTTTTTAAAACTAGACTAGAGTGTAGTAAAAGTTAACGAAGAAAAGAAACCGTCAAGATTAATACGGCACTCTTTCTAGTTTGAGGCACCCTAAATCTTAGACACTATTCCACAAATTATATTAGCGTACACAATTTTCACAACTTTTCTCCACTTAAATCAAATAAACATTTTCAAACTCAATATCCAGTCAAAAACCATCATATAAAATGTGATGGTGCAAGTGATATATTCACCTTGCTGCATCATGAATCAGTTGACTAGTAAAAGAAATGCAATCATGGCTGAAATGACACTCATCAAAATTAGAGTATTAAGAAATGTTACTTCAATCAAAAGGGCAAATGAGCCACACAAAGAACAGAAATTGAATGGACGAACGCTGTGTACAGATGGGCTGAGTGGAAGAAAGTGACATGACCTCAGTTTCGTTCCTTAACGCCTCCACCAAAGTAAACCAAGAGACCTGCAAGAGATGAGCGATTATCGTGAGAAAAATCCCCAAGCCCAAGCCAATACACGGGTCAAATTGAACATCACGAAAACTAACAGCCAGTATATATGAATCTATTACATTATCATGAATGGGAGTAGAAGTACGCGACGGAAATAGAAATGCAGGGGAAATGTTGAACCTCCAAACCCAGGCAAAGTTCATTCATGGTGATGGAGTTTCCATTTGCAGTCCGAAAAGCTGCCCAAAGTTGTCAAGTGGTGCGATTTGAGGAGTCCGAAACTTTTTTAATGATTTTTTTTGGACAAAAAGTAGGTTTCTCATGCTAAAAAAAAAGTTACATAACTAGGTAAAACGCACTACTATACTGCATTTTACTTTAATGGAAAGTTAGCCGTTAAAGTAAAACGCAGTATAATACTGCATATTATTTTTAAAAAAAATTTAACTAATTCGCAGTACTATACCTTAAACGCAGTACAGTACTACGTTTCACTTATTAATGCCCAGATCTGAAGGAATGCAGACAAATTTGTTTTTTTTTTTTGTAAAACGCAGTATAATACTGCAGACGGTGAATGAAAATAGAAGGTTATGTTCATGCGGGAAATGGATCATCTACCACATGTCGTGCGCACATGCGTTGAAGTGCTTTCAACAAGTTGGATATGGGGCAACAAACTATATTGATAGGCAATACAATGTTGTTGCATACGTAGACACGTATAGTGGGAAGTTGCAGCCATTATGTGCTGAGCATTATTGGCCGCCGGAAACTTTTAAGATGGTATGTAACAAGGACTTTTTGCGCAAGCTGCAAGTGCAAAAGAGAACGCGTATACGGAACCAAATGGATGTTGGTGACACCGTTTATACGCGTAAATGTGGCATATGCTTGCAAACAGGACACGACCGTCCTAAATGTTCTTCAAGTGGTGTGTGTGGCGGTGGTAATCCGGCTCCTGGTGCAAGTTCGTCGAATGTACCTAACTATCAAGGATACCCCTAGTCTTTTGTTTTGGTATATTGTAATACGTGTTTGTACTTATGTATGTTGCAATATATATCAAATAAATTTATGTTCCACAATCTGGAATGAGTGAAGAAAAAGCTGTTTAATTGTAGAAAAATGTAATATGTAAAGTGTGGTTTGATAGTTTCATATAACAACACAAGCACTTAAACTTAACTTCAACTTCAATTAAAATAAAATTTAGTGCGCATACATGCCATACATGTCAATACATGCCACTTCAATACATGTCATACATGTCACTTCAATTAAAATAAAACATTACTACAACACAAACACAAACATAACATGCCAACATAATAAAAATACATGAAATATGAAAAATACACTAAACATATACATGCCAATGTTTAGTCCCGGTTGTCATTTATTCTCCGTNACACATATTATGAAGAAACTGCAGTTGTTCTCTATAGCATTCCTGATAACATGGTTCATCAACCCATTCCTCAAAATCACAAATAGGTTCGTCCAACTTCACCACCGTCCCAACAATTTTGCATCGAGCATTCTTTTCCACAGTTGCACTTTGGTGGACGAAGAGGTTGAGCCATTTAATGAAATATTTGCTTTTAGTAAAAAAAAACTTACTTTTAATGAAATATTTGCTTTTACTAATTTTTTAGCACACAAAATAACTACAATGAGGCCGTTATTTATAGGCAAGACAAAATACATAAAGCGTGGTATAGTACTGCATTTTATGGAGTTGTCTTGTCATTCTGAAAAAGATGAAAACCATGTAAAAAAAGCTGCTTTATTGCAGAAAAATTTAATATATAAAAGTGAGGTATAGTACTGCGTTTTATGGAGTTGTCTTGCCGTTCTGAAAAAGATAAAAACCAAGTGAAAAAAAATTGCTTTATTGTAGAAAAATTTAATATATAAAGCGATGTATACTACTCCGTTTTATGGAGTTGTCTTGTCGTTCTGAAAAAGATAAAAACCATGTGAAAAAAGCTGCTTTA